CCGAATTGCGGCATTGTTTCCTTCTTTTTGCGGTTTCCAGGCTGGCAGGTGTGTGTGTGGGTTCTGGTGTGGCTGCTTTCCCACCTTAAAAATCAGGCATGTGGGTGCTTTTGAGTGGACGCGAGCCGTGACTAGTTTGTGCCCGTGCGCCCTGCTGCGAGGGGGTGGTGTCCTCTCCGGGGTCAGCTCCACCTCTCGCCCAGGTGCAGGTGGGATAGGCTTCAGCCCCCCAAGAGATGTGGAGTTGGATTAAGCAGGTGGATGGCTGGTTTTGCTTCAGTAAACAATGTTTTCCCTCAAAGCACGACACAGAAGTAAGTTGACCACAGGCAGGTTTCCTCTGAGTTAGCCGGCTAAACAAAACCCTCTCTGAGATGACTGCAGCACTCGGGATGTTTCATTGGTAACTTGGGCTTTCTTTACTAGCTCTGTGCACTTTGATGCAAAAAGCTCTAAACGTTTTCTGCCTCTTTATGCCTTCATTAAGAAAAAGAGCAGGTCGTCTCTCTGGACAGGAGTGTTCATGAATTTTACTACAGAAACTATTTAAACGGGATGGGAGATTGTAAAATTGTTAGAGTTTCAGAGCAGTGTGGTAATATCTGCTGTTTCAAACTAAGTTCACATGCTTTATGGTGAAGGAAGACAGAGTTCTGACACAAAATCACCTCAGTCTCAGACCAAATCAGGCAGAAGTCATCCGTCCATTTCCCGAGTGCCCACAGAGAGCATACAGACTCCCACAGACAGCCTGGGGATTTGAACCAGGAACCCTCTTGCTGTGGAGCGAGCGCACGGCCCAAACAGAAATCAGCTTTATTTAGTCGGCATCACTGACACAGTGACTAACCTGGGGGATGCAGAACAGATCTTTTGGCTATTTGGGACGGAATGCGAAAAGCTAAATCGCCTGTTCTGGTTCAGCCATTGAAAACACGGCGTCTGTGGTCATGTGACACACAGGCGTGTTTTACTGTAACAACGGAGCCTCTTCGGTGGCTAACCAGCAGGTCGAGCATACACAGACTGATTTCTAAGGTGAAAATCCTGAAAAGGTGCTGCTGCACTGTGATTAAACTATGTATTTTTCAGCCGGTAACATGGGAAACATTCCTCTCCGGTGGAGCTTTATGTTGTAGTCGCATCCACACATAGCGAGTCAGACTCTGGTCCTCAGATGATCCGGGGTCCGTCCACTTCAGCTCTGTTCCTGTCGGCGTGAAGGTCACAGGCTTTCAGCTTTGGCTTTGTCCCTCGTACACAAAGATTTCTCTCAATTTGCTGAGTCCTTTTAATGTTTGGCACCAAAGGTAATGGAATAAATATTTTCACCCACTTAGGAGTGAGCAAATATTAGTTATTAAATTAATTAAAGCTCCAAGCTAAAACATTTATTGTTTCAGAGGCTACACACTTCAAACACAGGTACTCAAAGTTATGATTAGGAAGTGTGAAGAATCCTTTAAATGCACTCTTGAGATTTATTTTAGTTATAGAAGGCATAATTGTCAAGTCAGGAAAAAGCATCTTTAATGAATTAATGAACACACTTTTTTTGATACGGTTTAATTTAGTCTGAGTTGAGTTTGTTTGTAGGACTGCTGTAGCAGGAAGGTTGTCAGCCAGATTTTAGGTTTTCGAACATTAGTGATTCTAGATCAGAGGGTCTGGTTTCTGGGTTCATCCTCGACCGATGAGCAGGTGGATCAACACCAAGAAAAAAGTCCTGTCAGTTTCTCTGCAGAAACCGAAACGTCTTCTTTTTCAGCACGTAGTTAGCGTGGGGCAACAAAAGACTCCATTAGTTATGTTTTAATGGGCGTATTTTCATTTCAGAACAGAGAACGGAAAATGTTGTCCACAATGTAAAATTCTTTCTTTCTTCTCTGCAGCATATCGGTGTATTTCAAACAAAGCGCCGTCTTGATTGGCTCAGCTACCGTCTGAGGCATGTTGTGCTAAAGAAACACCTATGCAGGTAATGATTTCTTTATTTCTTTAGTTTTTTTGTTTGCATGGATGGCCTGATCACACGATTCAGTCCTGTCACCCGTCTGCTCACAGGGTTGTGATTCTCTCTCGTTACTCAGGTGGATTCTACACTAATGAATGTTGGGGATGGAGGCACGGTGAGCAGAGAGATCAGTGCTCCGACTAAAGCGTCCACTAGCATGGTGGGAAATCCCCCCCAGACGCTACCAGCGGAATTCAGAGGAGATGTTGACCTCAGTCAACAGAACAAGACCACTCCGACAAGAGACTACAAGGCAGTAAAAGCCTGCTTGGACTCCACTAATTGTAACCACAGCCCAGAACTGTCCCCGCCCCAACAGCCTAATAATGCACCAATGTCCGGCTCCGTCCTCACCAGCACAGAGAAAAGATCCGACAAACGGGCAGACGCGCCTAAAGTCCGGGCCGATGGTGCCGGAGTCTTCCCTACAGCTCAGTGGTCGGGCGGTGTAAAAGCGGGCCGGGACGACCCCCTCGGCCCTTGCCACGGCAGTGTGACGTCCAGTAAGAAGTCGCATCCGCAAACACAGCCTCTGCAAAGCATCGCTCCCGGATTCCAGTGTTCCGCCATGTTCAAACCAGCTCAGCCCGTTGCCTTCCTCCCCTCCACTAATTTCTCCCCTTCGCTTTGTAAGATTAATCTTCCACCAGCATTAAGTCAGATAGCTGCTTTGAGAGAAAGCCACTTTCAGAAGGACGCTCAGCCTCAGAGCTCAGGTGCGGGAGACCCCCCCCTCATGCGGACCTATCCCTATTCCTTGTCTGTCGGCCGGACCTCGGATAAAAAAGGCGGTGGATCGGCCTTAAAGCTCAAATCAAACCACGCGTCAGGCAAGAACTCCAAATCTCTGGGAGAGCATAAGTCTCTGACCTCTGTGGTGGCCTCGCCGGCGCTGCAGCACCCGTCGCTGACCTCGGCGGCCCCCGCCCACTACACGCTGTCCCCCACCGCCGCCATCTGCTGCAGCTCCACTCTGGCCAGCATCACCTCTCAGAGCAAACTCCTGAACCACGTGGAGAAGGGCAACGGCATAGACAAAACAGCCATGGGCTCCCTGAACGCGGCACCCCCCCCCGGAGCAGAGCACCGCACGCCCTGCTCACCGGAGACCAGAGACGTGCCTCTGGATTTATCGGCCAAGTCCAAACGCCCAAAATGCACAAGCGAGGCTCCCGTTTCCGGGAAGGAGCCTCACGACGACGAGTCCAATCAGAGGGATTTTCTGAACGCAAAGAGGACTCATTCGACGGCCTACAGCTCGGCCATGCAGTACCCCATCCTACCAAATACCCACAGAAACGGATCCCACCAAAAGCAGTTGAATAAGTCCCAGAATCACCAGGTCCCCGAGCCCAAACCCACCTGGGGGAAGGGACCTTCACAGGAGTCGCTAAAAACCATCCCTGGTACGTACGTGGGTGTGGCCAGCCCCATACTGGCGTCCACTTTAAGGAGCAAAGATGGGAAAGCGACCTTTGCAGATGAGTTTCAGAGTTTTGCAAAGCAAGAGTTTATATCCATAGTAGACCAAGGGGAGCATCTGTCCTCAGGAGGGAAGAAGCCCTCCTGTCTAATGAAGGGCAGCCAGCAGGCCCCCCCTGTCAAGCACGTCAAAAACCCCAGCACAGCCCCGACTAAAAACTGTCCCCCTAAAGGAGCGCTGACCACCGCCCTGCTGAGCTCCGCCGGCCCCCCGGCTCACCCCAAATCCGGAGCGGGCAAACCCGCGCTGCCCTACCCCACCGCCGTCCTCAGCCAGACCTGGCAGCCGCCGGCTCACCCCCCCCACCAGTCGCCGCCCGCTCAGAGGAAGATCGCCCCGGGGTACCCAAAGACAAAGGCCGCCGCCGTCACAGAGGGGTGTAAGTTCCAGAGCCCCTTCAAGACCGAGGAGGACAAGTGGGAGAGGATGAAGTCTCCGCTGTCCAACCTGGCGTCCATTGTGAAACAGCAAGCCCTGGAGACGGCGCTGACCGCCGAGGGGAACAGCCCCGCCTCGCCCGGCGCCTCCAGAAAGGCCGACGCGCCGAATTCCCTCTCCGGGGGCCAAGACTCCCAATCCAAACACGCCTCTCATTTCGAATACCCGCCATACTGGTCTGTGAACAAGTGTCCTGGTGCGTCGGCTCAGGAGGAACCGACTCAGACCACCAAAAGGCACGACAAGACGAACGCCACCGAGCCGTCCGAGAACGACGGGGCTGTGCACGCCAGGCACGAGCAGTGCACGGCACAGCACACGAAGCAGGCTTCCTCCAAGGCCGCCGGCCAGTCCCATCTGTTTGGCAGCAGCGCGTCCACAAACGGGAGCCGCTCGGAGAGCAAACTGGCCCAGGTATTAGAGGGGGGGGCGTCCAGGGAAGAAGACGGGCCCTCAGACGCTCCCCCCAGCAAAAAGGAGGGCGCGGTCGCCTCCATCGCCAGGGGCCAGTGCGAACGGCGGGGCAGCAAGTTAGAGAAGAAAGCAAACGGAACCAAAGAGGAGTCGCCAACCAAAGGAAAAGCAGCTGCCAAGAAACAAAAGAAGGCCACTCCCAAGAAGGCGGCAAAGGAGAAGTCGCCCGCGGAGCCGGTGAAGAAGGCCCCCGGGAGGAAGAGACGGGACACGGAGAACAGTCCAGCCAAAGCCTCTCCCAATAAGAAGGTGAGTTAAAGGACTTCTGTCTTCCTCTGTGAGCTGTAATGCGTTGTTGTAACGGCAGGTTTTGGGTTTTAATTTGCCTGCCGGAGCCCCGTTTGCCTGCTCTCCTTCTGTGGCCCGCTCGCCTTCTCTGCATCCCCAGAGGGGGGGCTGTGGTCTGTCACGTCCCATGCAGTGTTCTCACCCTCTGCGTCCTGTGTGTCACAGCAGAAGAAACGATGTGCGCCTGTGCTGGAGCAGAGTCTTTCCCCACAGAGGAAAGAGCCCATTCCAAAGGACAAGAACAGCCCCAACCGGGCGGAGCAGCCGGGACGCCACCGAGCAGGCACCCCCCCCCCCCACGCTCGCCATCCTGAGACCTGGGCCCAGTCGGCTCAGCCTGAACTGCTTTCCGATATCGTTAAATAGATATGTACTCATGGTTGGGTTTCCTCAGGCTTTTGGTTTTAGCGATGCATACCTGTGCACAGACAGAAAAGGTAAATACGGTGTGGCTGTAACGATCAGATGTGATTTACTGGGTTGCAGACAGCCGGAGTCGTCCGGACAGCCGGGAGCCGTCGGCGTGCGTGGGCAGGGAGGCGGACGCCGCAGAGTCCTCCTTCCCGAGGCTGAGGAGGGGCCGGCGGCGGGCCGACGATGCCCGGCTGGACCTCTGGGGCTTTGCGACTCCTTCTCCCCCACCCCCGCCGATGCCTCCTCCCCCAGCCTCTCCCCCCCTGTCACCATCGCAGACCCCCGCTCAGCCCGCCCGTCGTCCTCGGGGGAGGCCTCGATCAAACACCCAGCCCGAGCGCACCCTTCAGGGCAAAGCCAAGATCGCCGGCACAGAGAGAGACGCGGCCCCTCATAAGAAACGCCGGCGATGCACAAGTAAGAAGTATGAAACCGGGGACTACATCACCGAGAAGGACAAGCTGGAAGATGGAGGACACCTTGAAGGCTCCCTGAGACAGGAAACCGTCATCACAGCAGGTAAGAAAAGCTCCTCTCCTCCTATCACGTCTCAGTGGGAAAGAGGGACTCTCTCAAAGGTGAATACAGCTGAAAAGGCTGGTATTCTTCTACCTTTTCTGAATTTGGGATTGACTAAAAAAATTGATGAGGTGTATTGGCCGGTTAATCTGTCGGTTCAGTGACACAACGAATCGGCTCCCATTTTTAGAATTACCGGAGTGTTGAACGCTGGAGGGATAAAGTGTCTTAGTTGGTTGGAGAATTTCCCAGGAGCCCCAGGAAGAGCCGGAGGAGGCAGCTGGGGGGGGGGGGGGGGTAGTTAGGTCTGCTTACAGGAACATCTCAGGCAGTTGGTTGGACTGTTTTAAGACATTTGTTTAGCAAAATCTGTGAAGTAAAGTGAGAAAAAAGGTGCGTGCTGAGGAAACAAACATAGATCAAATATTATGAATGCCCCTCGTCTTTTGCATTTGCACTGAGCTCTAAAGCAATCGCCACATTAGGCAAATGAAGTCCTGTGAAGTGTGCCGCTCCTCGCTGACGGGCCTCGCTGGGTCGTGCCAATCAGCTGCCCGTAGCGTTACCAGGAGGTCGGCCTCAGCTCCACCACGTTTCTGTAGACGTTTGGTGTTTAGGCCTTTTTGGAGCACAGAGTAAAGTTGAAACTCGGAGCCCCTCCTTGTTCATTCTGGACCCCACAGCAGCTCACATTGCCACAAATGCTGGAATAGGTTTGTGCTATTAAAATACTGCTGTAATCATTAGTTATTTCAGTGTTTTTGTGAAATTGAAACGCGTCTGACCGTATCGTTTTATTTATTTGAAAAGGGGTAAAGATTCAGTTTGATGCCTTTATGGGGCTTTGATCCCGTTTGTGGCCGATGACCTCAGCAGCATGCCTGTGATGGGCATTTGTCATCATTTGACGTTGCATAGACCAAGTGATTATTCATTGTTCTGAAAAAGAAAAAAACTTGATCAGTGAGTCAGTGCTGACAACAGCTGAGGCGAACAACTGTGGAAAAACTGTACCGCCACTGGACACTCATCTGCACTCTGCTTTCTCTAAAAATAAGTCTGCCATGAACAGCAGCGCCATTATTTCACATTAGATATCTGATTTCAGAACATTTTAACAACTTGGAATAACGAGGAGACAAACCCATGTTGTGTTTTTCCAGCATAGCTTCTCTGGTATCATTCAAATTAGATATGGCTGACTAAACAAGCCACAGCGGCTTCAAGGACCCAGACTTTTTCTTTTTTGCAATTTGGCCGTTTCTAAATGAAAATGGTATTAATTTATTCTTTCATCTTCAGCTGTCTATTCAGCTTAAAAATGTGTGTTTAGAAAGGGACTTTTGAAAAAATGGCATCTTTGAATATGCTCATTCTGGGAGAATCAATTAAAATCTAGTTTGAGTCACCTCTCCCCCTTTTCATGAACTTTCAGCAAATAGAAATGAGTAGCTATTTTATTGCCTTCTTTATTCCTTCCCCCCACTTTTTAAATAATAACATCCATGATGTGTGAAGCTTTTTGAAATGATTTTTGTTCCCGTTTAAAGCAGAAAAATGTCCTATTTGTTGGTAGAGTGAAAGGGTCTGTGCGACCTTCCACCAGTCTGAGTTAGCTATCGCCCAGACCGCGCAGAGCCAGAAAACCGGGCAGGGTCAGTTCCTCCTGCTCCTTCTTTCAAGGCCACATCTGCTTGGTGATCGCTTGGCCACAGCTGGAGAATCCGAGCGTCTGCCCACAGTGCTGCCACTTCCTTCAAAAAAAGCTTTGTTCTGATCAATCTTCTTCTGTTCGGATTTTAGTGGCTGTGATTGTACAAAAGAGTTTTTTAACAATCGCTACTATACCCGAACTCCCATTGCGTAGAATGAAGATCTGTATCGGTCCAGTGTCAAATAAAATCTCTTATGTTTCCTCCTAATTGTTCAATACACTGTTCACTGTGCGCGTGCACAGAGGCAGGGAGGACGGTCGCTAAGTCGGAGTCATTAACCGCAGCAATAGCCGAACCCCAACATCTGTCGTAAATGTGAGAAAGGCATTCAGAGGTTTGAATTTAAGTGCCTAATAAAACCCTAATAATGTGTCTTGGTCCAGGTGAAACGACCGTTGAATCCAGACTGCGTTCTGCCAGCGTGTGACCCGCGCTGTAAATGTTTTACCTCAAAACATTGTCTCTATTAGCTTCTGGAGTCACACCAGGCAAAGGTCACTGCCTCATAAAGGGCTTCACATTCCGTAAGCAGCTTTAGAGTAGAAGAAGGAGCAGAGTTGACTCTCTGCGAGACGCTTTTGTAATGGAAACCCGGGCTCACTGATCTGTTGAGGACGAGCGTCGTCACAAATGAGAGCAGCTCATGATGTGCAGTTTAGGGCGAACCCTCCTGGAACGCCTCCCATCTGGGGCAGCAAGTCTGCACGGTTTGCCTGTGAAGGAAAAACAACAGGACTGAGTTTGTGATTGAAAAGGCAGCTCACAGCTACAGTTTGGCCAGATTGAGTCGAGGAAATGGGAAAAGCCGAGGAACGCCGGCTCAGGAAGCACCTGCGCGTCTCGTATGGGCACAGATTCTGCTCCATGCTGAGTCTGGTACCTGAACACGAGCAAAGAACGGCGCCTGGCTGAGTTCAATATTCAAATTAAGGGTTTGACGGCACTTTAGGAGCATCCGTTTTGTCTCATTGAGCCTTTTTGTTGTTGCAGATCCGCCGTGTGCGAGCCCGACGGCCCCCTTCACGGGCTCCCCCCAGCGGAGACCCTTGTTCACCCGCTCGGGGTCAGTCCGCTACCAGGAGAGCGAGGAGTCGCCGGAGTGCAACGACAAGCCTGCAGGGAAGAGGAAGTTCAAAAGCAAACACTTATGCGACAGTGACGAGCAGAAGGTAAGCTTCTGAGGCTGCCTGCTGGATTGCTTTAGATGGGTCAAGGTTCCACAAATGGAAATGATTACAGTGCCCCCCTGTGGCCTGATCTCAGCAGCTGGGGTTGCGGAGGAGGTTCTGGATGCTCGGAGCCTCAGACTTTAGCGATTTCGCTCTCTAAACTCTAATTTGGAAACGTGTGTTTCAGCATAAGACCAAACGTGGCGGCCCGGGGAAGCGGGGCGCCTCTCTTCCTCTGGACGACGACGCCGTCGGGGTAAAAGGGCCCGTCACGCCCTCACCTAACCCCAAGAGCCTGCCGTCCTCTCCGCCCAATAAGAAGGGCTCGTCGGGGAGGAGCAGCGGTTCAGACTCGCCTACGAAACGGCCCGTCCCCCCCGAGGTCCGTCGACTGATCGTCAACAAAAACGCCGGAGAGACGTTGCTGCAGCGCGCGGCCCGCCTCGGCTACCAGGTAACCCCCCCGCCCGTTTCCCTCTCCGGCTCCAGAAAGCCGCCGGGGGCCGCAGTCTGACCGTGTCCCGCCTCTGCCCCGCAGGACGTGGTCCAGTACTGTCTGGAGAAGGACATCAGGGAGGTGAACCGGCGCGACAACGCCGGCTACACGGCGCTCCACGAGGCGTCCTCACGCGGCTGGACTCAGATCGTCCAGATGCTGCTGAAGCACGGCGCCGACGTGAACTGCAGCGCTCAGGACGGGACGCGGTGAGGCGCCGTCACACACGCACGGCAGCAGGTTTAATGGTGTCCCGATGCTGAGCAGTCCCCGTTGGATTGTCCCCCCCCCTCAGGCCCCTTCACGACGCAGTAGCCAGCGATAACCTCCCGATAGTCTGGCTGCTCCTGAACCACGGCGCCGACCCGACTCTGGCCACCTACTCCGGTCACACCCCCATCAAGCTGGCACACAGTCAGAGCATGAAGACCTTCCTCACAGGTGGGTCGCGCCGCACCCTTTCCGTCAGAGGAATCATTTCCGCCAAATTGCCAAACGGCTGAACAGGTTTTCAACAACTTGGCACAAAAGCGCAAGTATTTTCCGACCGATCAAAGCGTTAGAGACCTCTCTCTGCGTCTGATTTGACACAGGAGGAGATGACGAGTAAATATCCAGGTATCTTTACACACTGACAGGAACGGTTCTCGCTGCAGTGCAGTCGGGGCTGGAGCCACCGATGAGTGGAGCTGGTGTTTTTTATCCTGTTGATGTGAATGCATCATCAGTGTGTATGGGCCAGTTAACGCCTGAGGGCTAGAAAGACAGACACGGCTCACACTTCCCCTGAAGAAGCACGCGTTTTCTGCCCGTAATGTCTCTGGTGGAGGCTTACACGGTGCAGGCGTGCAGAGGTGAGATCGGTCCATTTTTAATCTGTCAGTAAAACAGCTGGCGGCTCCCCCTCAGCCCTGCTGCGCGGGGCCAGCATTCACCGTCCAGCCAAAAATGATGGAGGAGCCTAATTATCTCAGAGAGCCACAATTATCAGAGTGTAATGCCGTCCATCCATGTTGTCGTAGTTACGGGCTTCTCCCCTGGGAGGGCGCGGTTGCCCAGATTCTGGACCCGTCTGCATACGTCCGACAGGCTGCTACCGGGGATGGGGAAATGATTTACAGGTGCACTCAGGCGACGCCCAGACATGCTAATTTAGGTTTAAACGGACGTGTTTCAGACACAGACACAGTGGGAACATGACCTCCAGAACGGACCATCTCACAAGAGCCACTGCCAATATCCGTTAAAAGCTGTGTGTGTTCAGCTGCCCCCGTTCCCAATTATCATTGCCCATCTTGAGACATAATTTAGCCTCCTCTTGCTTTCATTCAGAATATTTCTTGGACCTGGAAGGCCGCCACGAGCAGGACTCCAGCATGCCCTGGGACTTCTACAGCAGCTCCCTGTTTGGTAAGAAACCTCTGTGCTGCCGGTCCAGCTAACAGCCCATTTCCTGAGAGACGAGCCTTTGAAATCACATTCTTCTGCTGCTGGTTTGCCGAGTCCTGATTGGCCACAGAGAAGCGAAGGGCCTGTTTACTTCCGCCATTATTGTTGTAAACGGCGTTGGGGAGCTAGTTATCGATCACAGAGAAGTGCAGAGGACAGTAGAGACGGCAGAGGATGCGGGTCCAGTCCCAGTTTCTGTTTTCAGAGGTAACTGACCCCTGAACTGAGACTGAGCCATGGACTCCAACCAAAAGAGTTTACTGAGAAACAAAACACTGGACCCATCTCAAAGATGAATTTAGTCCCCAGGGTTAGTTTATCATCAGCATGCTGATGTAAATGTGTTTTTGCCTTTTTGCTGCACTTACAGCTCAGTAAAGTGACCACAGACTGACTGTAAATCACTCATTTTTTAATTTTGGTTGTGTTCAAGATGTCTCTCACAGGAGGCTGAACATAATTTCCTTGGTGGCCGTGTGCACTGATGTGGAGATACTGAGGATATTTTGATCAGATATAGTGGAAAAACATCTCCAGCAAAAAACAAAGGAATCTAAACATTAAAGTTAGTTTTATCCAGATATGAGCAAAATAAGCAATTTTATCATTTATCCCTTTGAAATTGGCTTTTTTTTTCAAACTTCTTGCTCCTTGTCTCAGTACTATTTTAAAACTCTTTCTTCCTAAAGGGATTTCCAGAGTATATCGGTTGTTTGAATGCAACTGTGGTTTTAAAAACTGACCAGTAGGGGGCATCCAGAACGTTTGTGTAGCACAGGGGGGTCAGGGCCGCCGACTGGCCCCCCAGCTCCGGGGTGTGACCCCGCGGCTGTAGAGCTTCTTTTAAACACTCGGAATAAAAACAAGCAAAGCCACTCTAAGAAGGAACTTTAAGGCCATTCATGGGATCACTCCAAAAGGCAACAAAAGCAGCAGGTGAACAGGAAAGGATTCAATAGATGAAAGAATAGATGAAAAGAAGTTTGTAGGTTTCCAAAAGAATAGAGAAGTCTAATGAAGCAAACTGACTTGTACGAAGGATTTTCAAGTCTATCCAAGTTTCTTGCGGCAGCCGGTGTACAGAGAACGGACCGGAGATCCTGATGGCCGGTGTCGGTCAGAGGACAGAAGGTAGACTGTGTTAAGGGAAGAAGCCTGATCAGAAATGAGGTTTGGGGAAGTCTGTGACATTATTACAGCTCATCTGGGTCATCGTGTCTGACGCTTGGCCAGCCAGCCGTAGACTCCCCCTCCGTACGGACAGGCAAAGGGACCGTTTTTCGTTGTCATTAATGCAGCTTTTGTGCTACGATGAGCTCTGAGACCAGACTGAAAGGCCTCACATGCACCGTGGCTTCTCCAACATGTAAAGAGCTGCTTAAAACTCTGGATCTGGATAATCCGGATCAGGTGTAGGTCTTTCTTACAGGCCGGCGCTGTGCAGCTCATTGAGAGAGACAAACTGATCTGAGGGAGGGTTTGTCAGAGGGAGCGCGTCTGGTTGAGCCGGTTTGAGATCCGACAGACATGATGATGATTTAAAGGAGCCTGAATGATGTCCTCCTCCGTTTTACTGGAGCAGTAAAGCAGGAACTTCTTCCAGCAGATGGAGCTTAAAGCTGCTGGTAGAAAACATTAGGGAACATTTTCCCTAATAGACTAGATTTTATTACGGCTACCATCATAACCACATAAAATACAGCCTGCTGAGCGGGGGGGGCTCTGAGAGCCGGAGGTGCTGGGGGGGGCTGCTGGGATTCTTCTGCTGATCTCATCAACTTTCACATGTCATGGAGCCGCTTTTCAGGGCGAGGCTCCGCTGTTTGGGTTTGGTAGTTCACCGGTTTCCTGAAGGGTCAGAAAACTCAAATGTCCGTTTTAGTGGGGCACAGTGTCAGAGGTGGTTACGCTGTCGCTGCCACAGAGACAGAGAAGGAGCCCTGCTGGGACTTCCTGCTGTCCGAGCAGGACCAGGACCTGGAGGAGAGCGGAGCCGGGAAGACGGACCAGGACTCGGAAAAGGATTGCCTTCTGTTCGAGTTCTCCTCAGAGCCCCTGCTGCCCTGCTACCACGTGCAGGTGTCGCTAACACAGGGGTGAGTCCACACACACCATGACACACACACACACACCGGTCCACACACACCAGCCCAGACACACACCGGTCCACACACACCAGCCCAGGGGGAGCTCAGCTCTGGCAGAACCCAGGCTGACTTTATTTTGTCCTTCTTAGAGATCCTTTTTTAGTCTTTTTCTCGCTGCATGTTGGATTTGTGGATCCCTCTGTACTGCGGAGCTTTTTTCTTACTCCAGGTCTTTCAATGAAATTTGGGAAAACGAAACCCCAAATGTTGAAACCACCTGCTATTTTTTAAACGTTACACAACCTTCCGGCTTTCTGCTGCTCCCGTCCACGTTTTTTTCATCCCCCTTCTAGCAAAATCATAATAAAGAAATGTTTGGATTGAAAATAATTCCACTCACAGGCTCAGCAGTAAGTCTAGCTGGCAGATTTCTGCCAAACGAGTGCGTTGTTTTCACATTTCGCTATTTCTACTTTTTTGTCTGACTTGGTGTTTTTCCTGTGGTGTGGACTTGTGACTTCTGACCTTGTGGGGCGTTTCTCCGGCAGCTTCTGTAACTGGTTCCTTCTGTCCGACGTGCTGAAGCGGCTGAAGATGTCGGCGCGGATCTTCCGGGCGCGCTACCCGCACCTGGAGATGGTGAGTCTGCCGCAGGCCGAGCTGTGGAAGCAGGTCTCAGTCAGCCAGGTGAGCGCCTCAGCGCCTCCGCACAGAGGCCGGAGCAAGGAGGACGACCGGGAGGAGGAGGAGGAGGAGGAGGAGGAGGAGGAAGAGGAGGAGGAGGAAGATGGACTGGCGGAGCTGGTGCGTTGCGTGCCGGAGCTCCAGAGACTGCTGGGCTCCTCCATTCACATCCTACAAGAGGAGGAGGAGGAGGAGGAAGAGGAGGAGGAGGAGGTGACACACAGGGGGAAGCCTCGGAGCCGATAGCCTCTCACCAGACCACGCCCCCCCCCAATCGCACGCCGCCGCTCACGGGAAGCCTCTCCGTCCAGCTCCAGTCAGGACTCCACCCCCCCCCTTTGACCTCAGACATGCGAGGGAGCGCTCGGTGCTGGAAAGCAGCTATCAGGTTCCTCTAGAGGTATATTTGAATACAGGAGAAACTCTTTTTTTTTATGGATTCTGTATGTATATGGTAGTGTGTGTGTACATCTTGCCATCAGGGTTAACACGTTTGGTTAAATGTGGCAAGGGGACAGACAGTTTTTGGACTTACGCTCCAGAGGGGAAAGCGACATTTTTTTTTCCAGCAGGAGCTCATCCAAGTCTTTTATCTTGGTTTGACTCTGGCGTGGAGCCGGAGAAAAGCAAAAGTCAGGGAGGCCTCGAGCCCCGGGGGGGTTTCTCTGCCCACCTCGCAGACCTGGAGACCCGCAAAAAAGACGGAGACCACGGCCCGCCATCACCCCTCTCCCCCCGCGTCTCCACCCGCTGCCACGCAGCTGCAGCTCACGTTTCCTCCACATTTCACCAAACCCCCCCCTCCACCCCCCCGTGGGCGGCATGAGATGAGGTCTGGAGGTTTGGGACTGCCGGTTTGTTTACAGAACAGGACGGACTCCTCCTGAACTGATACAGAATCCTGTGGATATCTCTCAGAGGAAAAGCTGAACCATCTCTGGAGTCCAGAGGACCTGAGACGCCCTCATAACTGCAGCCACGATTGTCCCCCCCCCCCCCCCCCCCCCCCCCCCCCGGTGTAGTGTTTCCAGATCCAGAGTGCTTTGTGTTGCAGTGTTTTATTTACACTGTTTGTTGTGCTTAATTTAATAGTCATTATTAATATATTTGACCTCTTGTGTATCTGACAACCTTATGTATGAAAATGCTTTCTATGGGTGGTGCTTCATTCTAAAATGTACTTACTCGGATCCCTTTATTATGAGATTTTGCTCCCTCATTCGAAAACAGTATTTCAAGAAGCAAAAGTACAGTTTTATTGTACTGGTGCTAAGATAGATTTTGTGTTGACAATCAATGAAGTTTTGGTTTGACGTCACAAACAAACAAAAAAGATATTTAAGAGACTTACGGTGTAAAGTATAGTTTAGGTAAAGATAATGGGATTCAACCAGACTGAGAAATGAAGTGTTTGAGATCCTGAAAGAGTCTTTTATTTGATTCTTTTATAAGAAATCAAGCAGAATAAAGCATGATTGTGAATTATAGTTTTGTCTTTGTTTTCTCAAATGTCTTTTTTTCCCACTCAGGCTTCAGTCAAAAGTTATTTTTTGTTTGATCTTTCTTTTGTTTTTTTGCCATGGAGGTGTCTCTCCCACTGAGGACCTTTTATTTTCCTCCACAGAAATCAGCCTGAGCCCAAATAAAAAGCAGAGCTGCTGTTACCTGTTCTCTTCTTCCCACGTGCTGTCACTTTTCGGTCGGCCTTGAGCTGTTTTGGACACGTCCACTTTTTTAAAAAGAGCTTTTCCCACAGAGACTTTAAGAAGGTCTACTCAAAGGGGGGAAGTTGGATTTAAAGGAGCACAGTCCACTCGTTCATTTACAGCCTTCTGGGTTTGGGAAGCGGGGCCTTTTGGGGGCTAAAGTTTGGTGATGGTCAGACAGAGGTCATCTAAAGGCGTGTCCTGAAACTGTTGGACGGCGGAGAAGACGCAGTGTGATGCATTTAAAAAATGTTCCTTTCTTGTTCTGTTCAGGTGTTCCCACTTCTCTTAAAAAATACATATATGTGTTAGAAACCACAAATTCACTCCAACTAAAGTTTTATTTATCCTTTAAAAACACTTTTGCATATTGGATGAAAATAATTGGATTTATTTCCCCTAAATTGTAAGTTTAAAATATTTTATTTTTAGATATTCAGTCAAAAATTATCAATCTCTGAAGGGAAATTGGATTGCTCCCATATAAATTGGTATTAAAAACATCTTAATCGGTGATACTTCACAAACGGTCAGCAGGTGACGTTTTATTCTCCGTATTCTGCTTCTGGAGACACTTAAAGACGACGATAAAAGATCCGGTTTCACTGCCGACTCAGACCAGTCTGCTTCACTCAGACCTGGTCTGAGTGGAGTTCAGGGAGAGGCTGGACAAACGCAGCGTGCACCGACTGGACTTTGTTCATCCAAATTGAAGCCCTACAGGTAGGGGACCCACCTGGAGTGGCCGGGCTGTGGAGGGCAGGGGCCGGCAGGCCGCTAACGGAGGCTGTTTTTGGCCTGACGGGGCTGAGCTGACCGCTGAGGTTCGGCTTTGTTTCGCCCACTAGAGGGAAGCAGCGACAGCAGCTCAGCCCGGGAGGCGCCTCCTCTCTCCCCTCTCGTCTCATCTCAGTCCCAGCTCATTTCTGAAGGCCTCCATTGGCAAAACTACGTCGTGTGACCTTTAATGAACACTGAAAAGCCTCCTCTGTGGAATACAGCATCTGAATATGCAACATGTTGATTTTTTAAGTGTTTTGAACTGCAGTTAAACCTGCTGGATGCAGATACAGCTGCCCTTCTATCAAAGTTTTACCACCAATGATTGAAGAAGTGCGGCTGATAACCAAATCTCAGTGAGCAGTTTAAAAGTGATAGCATCTTTAAGCAGCCTATCTTTATTCTCAGTTTGGAAACGGACCGTTTTTATGGCATATAAATCAAATATACCTCCTGCCTGGACCTCTGCACCAGCCTGTTGGACTGATTTTAGATTTGAAAAATCTCCGGGACCAGACTTTGAACAAAGAGCAAGAAACTTGATTGCTTTTTTCTAGTTCCGCCTCCCTCCCCCTGAGTTAAACGTCCTGCTACATGTCTGATTTCACACTCTGACAACATCTGTCAAATAAACACAGCGTAAAAACTACGTTTTATTGTGTGTTTTTTTGCTGTGCTAGCAGAGGTTGGGTCAGCAATCGCTCCTCATAAAATGTTTTATCTCCTGACTGGATCCATTCTCGTGGTCTTGCTGTTGGTTTTTCGGGTTCCCAATCTCTCAATCTACCTACTGGGATGTGAATTTCTTGACTTTTGAAGCACTTTGAGAGTAATTGTGGACATGCAACCTCCCCAGTTGTTCAGCTTTGACATGTTTCACTGCAGTGGCCCCTGGCAGCCCCCCCCCCCCCCCCCCCCCCCCACAGGGTTACTACAGTTCACTGAGGCCTGCAGGCGTGCACTAGATATGCCAGCTCTGCCAGAGAGACGGGCCCCCACCTGATAAGTTTTGAGTCTGGCTGCATGCTTCTGCTCCAAAAGGTGCAGCTCAGAGTTTGTTATAGTTTTTTTCATCTTGGCAGATATTGTTCACATCATCTGGGTGACTCACTGGGTTCCAGGAGATCATGTTTCATGCGGGTGTCGGGGAAATTTTGAAGCTCCTGTAAATCATGCCCAGTCGGGGTTGGGCCCCTCTGGGCCCGCCCTCCTCACCGAGCCCCCGCCGGGCCCCGCCGCTCATTGGCCGGCCGGAGTGGGACAAGGGGCCGTGATTGGATCAAAACGGGGGCAAGTCTGCACAAAATCCACTCAGAGCTGAAGTGAATGAGGCAGAAAGGCCAGGCTATAGGTTTGTACTCTTATTTGGAAACACAAAGAAATATGGGGGGGGGGGGGGGGGGGGGGGGGTACACAAAGCAAAGGGGAGCGCTGCCTCCTGTTGACTTAAACTTACAGCTAGTCTCCACATTTCAATGGATCCTCCAACAGAAGAAAATAAAATTGCTGTAACAATAATGAACCTTTCATCTTCATAAAGAATGTCGTGAAAATGAGTTCTTTTGAAGCTGTTCTGCATGAATACAGCTCATCTCATCATCCCGGGTGCACCCCCTCCGTACGTAGTCCAAATCTCTTCTGGTCGTCCTTTACTTTTGGTTTACTTTGGGCGGTGAACACCCAGCTATCCAAATGTTCCCTCATGAGGAGCTCAGAGAGCTAAATGGCCCGAATCTGTTTTCCCACCAGAAAAGAGGCGTCTTAATCCTAAAAACAAAGGGACAGAGGGGGCAGCTTCTTAGAAAAACCATTTAAAATGAAACAACTTTTTTTTTTTCTATTTTACTTTAAGAAATAAAAGACAGAAGGTCAGGCTGGATTTAACTATCGCCACCTCTGGAGCTTTTCAGGGTCTTTTACAGGTGGAAGTTTTACCAAAAAAAAGTGGTCCTGAACTGACGCAGTTCACTGAGGACATTTATTGTCTCTGTTAACGGCTTCTGGATCAGGTTATGTAAGAGGCCTGTGTGAAAAGAAAAAAAAAGAAAAAAAGTCACACAGGAGGGGGAAGTCCTGCTCTGCCGGTCTGCATGTAAAGCCGAGTGTGGATGTTTCCCCACCGAAACCGCCTCCCCCCCCCCCCCCCCCCCCCCCCCCCGCCGCCGCCGGCGCAGAATCCTAAAAATCCCAGAAGAAAAGTTTTGATACGACTGAGGAGTATTTCAGGGGTGGGAAAACTTCAAACCGCCTTTCATCCGCTCGTCCCTCTGTAGGGAATTAGCCTTTGTGTGAGTGGGATCCCTCTGTAGCCGGGAGGGCCTGGTGTGTGCGTGTGTGTTTGTGTGTGTGTGTGTGTGTGTGCGTGTGTGTGTGTGAACATGTTAGCCGAGCAAACCCGTGAATCACACCATCCGAAAACGCTCCCAGCCCCGGTCGGTGTTAAATTCCTTCGTCTTGACTAATATGAGGACGTCTAACAGTTGGGTAAGCTTCCCGGCCCCCTCGGCTCTAAATATACCGCCGGGGGCATCTGAAACTGGCCGGCCTCCTCCCCGTGCCGCACACGGCCGACCTTGCCCAGCCATCCGAGTATCCCGGCCCCCCTTCATGCAATCACGCAGGCTATAAATGCTCATGCAGTCTGATTACACTTTAGAGGCCAAATCTGGGGTCCTATGTTTTAATGCTGCACATGTTGGATGGGGGGGGGGGGGGGGCTGGGGCATAACGTTCAGGCCCTGAAAGGAGTTGAGACGACCAAAGGAGCGAGTGTTACTGCAAGGAGTCTGTATTCATTTCAGAGGAAGCCACAAATTTGGGCTAAAGATTCTGCAGAGGCTTCGCCAGGACTGGTAATATCAGTATAGCCTCCAAATATTAAAGTCTGTAACTCGAGTAACAGCCCAATGCAAATGACCGGTGCACTTATGACCCCTCAGATACGAGAGTCCGGACGGCTCTTTTTGTTTATCCACACATAAAACGCACCAGAAAAGTGTTTTTTATCCATCGAATTTGTAAAAGAAATAGAAGATGTCGCCTCTCTTCAATAAATCTCTTTCGTCACAGCAGGTTTGAATTTTCTGCTTAATTACAGAGAGCCAGAATATTATCAGCTCACCAGTTTTCTTTCAGTTAAAAAAACGAAGGGACAGCCGATAAGGAATTTGCTGTTAATAACAGAGCAAAACTGTTCAGAGCTTTGAGGAACTGCAAACTCAGCCTTGTGTGAACCTGCAGACGATATCAGCGAGGGGAAGCTGGATGGATCTAGTATGAGCTGGAAACGGGAAGTCCTGCAAAACCGACGGCATCAAAACACAGGAGGCCCAAAACAAACCAGCCGGGTTGTGTTTATACAAACCAAATATGGACAAAAATATATAAAAGGTTCTATTGCATTTTATTTTATGGTATAATGCAATTTAAAAAAAATCTAATGCCACTTCATCTACTCTTGTAGATGTAAATACAAAATAACCTGGACAGATTGTGAGAGTCAAACAGGAATGGTTGAAAGTGATTTATCTGCAGAATATTTACCTGAAAACTCAACAAAGAACCCAAATGCAGTTCAGCTTCTGAAAGAAGAAAAATAAAAACGAACTTCTCGTGCGGGGTGTGACGCCTCAGCCTCGTGTTTTACAGACGTTTGGCCGGACACAGCAAAAGACTGGAAATGTGTAACTAAAAACAGAGGGGCGGAACGGCGGGGGGGGGCCCGGCGGGGTGGGGGGGTTGGCTTGGGGGGGGGGGGGGACTTCAGAGAACGGGATTATCTCTCATCTGTGGTACACGCTATCAGAAGAAGACCCTGATATTCAGACTGCGTTCTGTCCTGTTGGTCAGACTCCTGCCGGACGCTGCGGGTTCTGGATGCATTCGCTCACATGGCCAGTGTTTATGTTCCACATCTTATCTGAGGTCATGCTGTCCCTCTCTCTCTGTCCAGTGAGCAGAAAAACTCAATAACACAGAGCCTCAGATCACACAGAGCGGTGGGAATCTGATAGCGGTGTTTTCCGAGGACCGCAGGGGTTTCCAGTGGCTCCGCGGACAATGGGCGGCTTGATGTTGTGAACACGTGCACGCAGACGGCCACGCTGCTGCTCCCGGTCTGTGACCGGTGGGGCCGAACCGGGCAGCTGAGCATGGACGGCCAGAGACACCGACCCGCACACAAAATCTCTATCTGACCGCCTGGACGACCCTGATCTTTATCAGCCGATAATTAGAGTCAACTTTGGGGACTGAGAGTCTTTATCCTGCCGCTTTTATTCAAGTATTGCCATTAAACACCACATCTGGTACTTCATTTTGCAGAAAGTCAACCTTTCTTTCTTTTTTCTCGCAATGTTTGTCAGCTATATTTAATAAAAACTAAAAACACATGCATACGATAGCTGAGATTTGATGCATTTCAATTCCACTGCATCCGTTCAGGGGATTTCTGCACCCTCTGATTCTGATATCTGACTCATTCTGCTACCGGGGGGGTGGGGGGGGGGGGGGGTAACATATCACAGGTGTTATTAAAAGCACGGCGGGAGCCGGCAGGTTTGCACGTGTGCACGTGCACGTGCACGGCAGAAGGCCGCGCTGACCCACATAGGGCGCACGTACGGCGACAGATTTGTAATGCTTGCGAGGCCGGGCTGAGAGGATTGCTCGCTCCCAGAGACAAGCTGTGTCAGGCTGTAAGTAGCTCCAGCTGGACTTCCTGCCCTCCCACTCCGCTCTTACATAACCGCCGACGGTCCCCTCTGAAATGCTCCGCACGTAGGGAGCCAACACCGGCCGTGGAAGTGTGGTATTCTGTTAAAAAAAAACTACTTACATGATAGTATCTGCACCTCGTTTGCTCCAGTTAGGGTTTCACTCTGTGGATTTTTGAAGCTCTAAATAAATGGGTGGGTTCTTTGACTGTTTTGAGGCTGTTTGTTGGAGTATGCTGTCCCTGAAGGGGAACATTTTATTCCCAACAAACCAGCTGTGTGTCCTTGATGACTACAAAAAAAAAAAAAAAAAAAGACAAC